TAGCACAGTAACCCCTCACTTTCAGCCCAAGCTGCTGTGGCAGGTGACCTGGGAGACCAAAGCGGCAGCTCTATTCTGCCTAGCAGAGGAGTATTTCTGGATCTGAGTGTTTGGCCCACACCCCAAGTCGGACTGATCACATACTGGAACTGGGCACATAGCCTCATACGATGAATAGAGACTTTCCACCTAGCTCCTTGTACAAAATCTATGTGGCTTCCTTCTTGGAGAATATCAAATTTATCTTTTTAAATCCTAGCTGATGGTAGCCTTCCTCCCCTGTTGATACCCCTTAATTTCTCTATCCTCCTGAGTTGAATAATCCTTTCATAGCAATAATTAATAAATAGCCAAGGATTTAGCAGATATAAGTGATTCCAAATCAAATTAAGTTGTGTTATATTCTCAGGAAAAGAAACTATTAAACTTGCAAAGTCAGAGTGCCAACCACCTCATTTATTAACTTCCTCTTATAAGTCTCCATCTCTAGGGACAGAAGCTGAACATCTGAGCTGCTGTCTGTATGAACTTCCCAAAAAATCATCAGACAGTGAAACACTCCGTGATTATAATCACTTTATCAGCAGGTGTTAGGGGCTAAATGTGACTGGGATTGTGGCCTGTATATAACAACGCCTTCAGTTTCACAGGCTCCACAACAAGGCAAACAGGGTTCCTCATCAGTGTGCCCAGCTGGTAGAGCGGGCACAGCGTTCTGCCGCCAGGGCTCCTTAGTCCCATTCTGTCACTCCACCCTACTCCCAGCCAAGTGTCAGATGTCACACCACCCTCCCAGGCAGGATTTAGAAACTCTCCGAATAATTTAGAAAAAGTATGTGCCTCCTTGCCTGTTTTAAGTTAACTCCTGAAGTTGTCATCGTCAGAGAGGAAGAGGACGTGGTTTCTGACTTGTCAGTGTAGCCTGAGCTTTATGTTTTTGTCAAAACTTTGGCACTAAAGATTTAGCATATTAAATGTATAGATAAAACTCACTCTATGATACAGTTGGCAAAGATGATTTTTATGGTTAAACTATCCAGCCAAATTAGCCTGGCTTTCTGTCAGATCCGAGTCTGATTTCATTTTTGTCTGTTCAAATAAACATATCGGTACACACCTCATGACAGCCATCTCACTTCTGAAGTGTGAATTTCCAGTCTGTGGGTAGACCGATAAGGACACACAGCCCTGCCAAGAGTCTGTTGCCTGGAGAAATAAGGGATTACCTCCATTACTATTTCTTCCCTGCTCTCATAGGCCTCCTCTTAGAAGCAAGGCATTCTGAAATGGCCCCGTGGTGAGGTTCAGGAGGGTGAAGTTCAGGAGGGTGAGGTGTGCATTTCTTATTCTGAAGTGGGAGTAAAGCGATTGTAAGAGTGGGAGTGGCTGAGAGAGAACCTACAGATCACAGGCAGTTCTTGGAAGGGTCAGCTTTAAGAAAGAGTATGTATGGAAGTTAAGGATCTGGACATTTATTTTCTTGGAATTGCCTATGCCCAAATACCCCTGGAAAGTCATGTCCCACAAGGGTATGTGTCGCCCAGTTTTAAAACCACTGCTTTAGATACAGCTATGTTCTCAACCTAGATCCGCCTGTGACAGAGGCCAGTTAGCCTAGCCTCCACTCAGTGTTTGTCCACACCAGTGTTCAACAGGGGCTGACTTTTCTAGAGACCTGTCATGTAGAGGGGTTAGAAACGTAGAACTCAGCCTTTCTTTCTATTCAATACCTGTATTTCATTATGTCTGGAGTTGTCATAGGAAAACAAGAAACTCTCCAAGCAAGCAAAGAAGGACACTGTGACTCTCCAGATATTTGAAGAGTACTTGGGGATAGGAACATACTTGCTCTAGAATGTAATGTTTCAGATGCCAAACTAGGAACAGTGAGGAAAGTTAGAAGGAGGCAGGTGTTGATTTGAGACAAGAAGGAAGGTAGGTCAGAGAAGGTAGACAACATTTTTAATCATTTTTATTGGATAAAATACATAAAACTTTCACAGTAACTCTGTAAGATAGGTAGTATTACCATGAGGAAACTGAGACTCAGAGAGGTTGAGCAACTCACTCAGGGTCCCACAGCTCAGTCATGCCAGAGCAGGGATTTAAACCTTGTTCAGTCTGGTGACTTCAAAGTGATTATATAATGCTGCCTCCCTCGGTGGTAAATACCTGCTGTAGAATGGGCTTTCTATCTAACACCCTTAGTTCATTCTCAAAACAGCAACAAAACAGACACTGAAAAGAATTTCAGTAACCTCTGAGTACCACTCCCATTATAAATCAAATTGTGACCTGTAGATGCTTCAGAGGAGGACGATAAATGGCTGAGGTAGAAGGCTGGTTTCTTCCCTTAGAGAAAGTAAAGACTTTCACAGACTATTTTAAGATAAAATCTCATGAACATAGACCAGCTCCCATACAGAGTGAAGAAGGCGCATTCAGGATGATATCTCACTAATTATATTGTTACCCTCCAGGAGAGACCACACACAAAGTAAGCAAAGCTCTGCGCTACAGATTGTTAAGAACCTTGTTCTTTTTCATTATTGTGAAAAACAGGTTATTAATTAATTACGGAAATAAATATGCTTTATTTGAAGATGCTGTTCTGGAAAAAAAATTCTCTCTCTCTGTCTCTATTTCTGTCCATCTCTGTCTCTCTCACTTAGCAGGCTGTAAAGTCCAGGAGGGCAACTGCTGTGTCTCTGTTATTCATGTTGTGCCTAGCATTGTGCCTAACACACAGTAGATGGTCAGTAAATATTTAGCAAGTGAAAGACTTAATCAGTGATATGCCAGGATCCCAAGATCTCATGCTTTTAAACTATGAGATGAACTATATCTTTCAGACCCAAGAACAGATCTCTTAGGAGAATGAGAAAAGATTTTATCAGCCGAGGCTTCTAACCTTTTCCCCAAGCCAACTCTACAAGTCTTCTAGTAAAGAGCCTGGCAACTAAAAAAGAGCTCATTTATAATTTCATTATACTCATTTGGGGGGTGGGGAGGTTGTTGACCTCTTTGTAAATATGATGAAAATTATGGCCTCAGCCAAAGGAACACACAGAAAACATTTTGTATAGTTTCATTGTAGGTTCATGAACCCTTTAAACTGTGCATTTCAGGTTAAGAATGCTGAAAATGAACTGCAGCCTAAGGAGAGGGCAGGCACCTGCTAGAGCACTCATATTTGAAGGAAAATCGGCAAGAGGAAATAGAGCTTGCTTTGGATATAACACCAAGGGGGAGAACACGACGCCAGTTCCAGCTGTGCCTTGATTCTGGGAGAAGCTTTCATAAAAGACCTTTTGTTCCCTTTGGGACAGATGTCACCAAGCACGTGGCTCCTTAGTGATGGTTGGCTGTCCAGCCCTTCCTAGCTGCTCCCTTCAGTCCGTGATTGGACCAGTCAGGAAATGGGAGTGGTTTGGATAGTGAAGGTTGCTGAGTTGGTTCTTTCAGCTCCTAGAGTATATTTACCTTCCTGTCAGGCTCTTTGTCTTGAAATATTATCGCCCTGAGCCGAAGCACTACAAGTTCGTTGCCTAGGATATTTTGCCTTAAAGTCTTTCCCAAACTGATGTAAAAGAGCACAGATTTTATATAGGCATAGCTAATCCCTTGTGAGATAACAATATCGAGGCTATAGCTGGGAGCTGGTGCACCCCAGGCCTCTCCTCTTCCTTACTTAGCTCCTGTCTCTACCAGAGGAAGATTTTGCCTCCCTTCCAACCACCCCATCTTGACTACTTCAGACTTTATCCAGAGGACACAGCCCTTACTGTGTGATCAAGGATTTATACCTCTCAGAGCTTCACTCTCTCCATCTGGAAAATGGGATAATAAAAATAACAGTCCCTCCGCCCTAGAATTATGTGGGGAGTGACAGGAATCTTTGGTTCAGTGCCCCTGGCACGCAGCAAACACCCATCAAGCTCGCCTCTAGAAGTGTAGGAGAAGCTGGGCGAGTTTGCTACTTTTGCCCTTTTCAATGTGCTTGCTCCTGTCCCCTTTTTCTGGCCCTGCCTTCTTGCCCCAGTCCCTGTATTAACAGTGTTCTCTCCCAGCACCAAGCCTGGAGGCTCTAAGCCTGAGCCACTGAGTTCCCAGTCATGCTCTGGGATGCAACTCATTTTTGGGCCACTAAAGTATCAGTGACACCTAGGATTACCTGGTCAGGACAGTAATGACTGACCCTTTCCACTCCCTCCCTCTATCCTCCCTTTCTTCCTGTTGCTTTTACTTCTCACCTACTTACTTAAAAACAACTGTTGATTGAACACTTCCATGTGCCTAGTACAGGATTAGTGCTAGAGAAACAGTAGTTAATAAATGGATTGTATTGCTCCTCTTTTATGCTCTAGCGGGCTGTAGAAAGAGGAGTAAATAGCAAGCACTTTATAGGGTGTGATAAGGGCTATGAAAGAAATGAGATGCAGATGAAGAATAATCAGGGGGTCCTACTTAGATGCAGTGCCTTCTCTGAAGAGGTGACATTTGAACCCAGTGACTGTCCTGCAGCATGAATTGAACCCTTGGCATTATTCCAATGGGGACTGCAGAATGATAGCTTCCTTTTGTTTTTCTCTCCTAACAGCAGATGGCTTAAGGCTTAGGGGAAGTCAAACGCCTGATTTTTACCAGCAGTTTATTTTGTCGAGTAAATTAAAAAAAATATTCTGACCTATACCTGCTGGTTTAAATAGCTCTTCACTTCCTGTGTACCAGGCTCTGTATATTTTACATGTATTATCTTCCTGAATCCTCCCATAACCCAGGAAAGCAGGTTTTATGATCATCATTGTCCATGTAGTCAGATAAATCAGAACACAGAGAGGCTAAGTAACTTGCCCATGGCCACAGTGCAGTGCCCAGCAGTGGTAGGGTGAGGACTGGTATCCAGTGTCTGACAACAGAGCCTGTCCCTTCAACCAGCAGACTAGGTCGCCTCCCTTCCTGTGATGTCTTAACTCACCTGGTTCTCCTTTCCTTTGCAGTGGTGCCAGTGAGGAAGAGGACACGTGAAGGCTCGCCACCCCCAGTGGAAACCATTCCTCCCACTTGTGTGTATGTGACAGCGTGTATGTAATGGCTTCTGATTCCTGTGAAAGCTGCCCGGCAACAAATGTCCTTCCATCGAATACGTCCCCAGATCCACAGCAGGCACACGTCTCTCCAGGGGATGACCAGTTTCATGCTTGCTGACTGTGTACTTCTCATTCTTTTGTTGTGGTAGGTCAAGGAAAAGTGCCCCTTTGATCAGCCAGGAGCAATTAAGAAGGGTCCTTCAGGTAACCCCTCAATGGCTGCTTAGAACTTACTCAGGAAAGCCAGCCCCTGTACCCAAACATACCTCCTCATTAGGAAGGATCTGTAATAATCTTGAAGGGCAGTCGGAATATTTTTCCCTACCTGCCAGTGAAACCCCCACTTTATCCATACTGAAGCATGAAATAAATGAGGGCAGAGTAGGGATGAACCTACATAAATAGTCTCTAAAAGTCCAGTACATTTGTGAAAATGTGGTTTCATGAAATAAGATGGATGGCTTGAAAACAGGGTTGGAGAAAGAGTTAAAATTTAGAACTATATAAAGATATTTTTAGTACATGAGGTTTATCCAGGACTTCAGATTCATAATTCAGTGCTGTGGAAATGAAAAAAAAAAAAAAAAAATGATTGATGACTTAGAAAGGAAGTAACGTTAAAAAAAAAAGAAGAAAAAAAGAGGACCAAAGACCTGATTAAAAACTGAAATCGGTATTTCTGAACTCAAATTGCCTGAGTTTCCAAAAACAGTCACTAAAGGATCTGATGAACCTGAACAAATGGGTGAATTCTGAGGTTTTGTGAATCTTGTTCCATGAAAGGCTGGGGTGTGTATTACCAAATGGGAATTTTCAATGCAGGTTTCTGTTCCCCTCCTTCAACTTAGCCTAATTTGGCTTAAATGCAGTGTGGGGAGAATCCTTGTCACTCATGATGTGCTGAATGGAGCTCTGAGCTCTGTCTCTCAGCAGATACACCCTCCTGTACTCCCGTTGGAGCCCCTCTTCCCATGGCCCTCCCCATTAGCTCCCCTCCAGATCCTCTCCCTGCCAACTCTCCTCTCTAGTAACGTGAGCGGAGACACATCATGGTTGGACTCTGCCTTTCCCCAATCCCAAATCACATTTCCTTACAACCAGGTTTTATGGTCAAATGAGCAGTAATGTCCTAGGGAATACCAAACTGCAGGCTGAGAACCTGCATCTTCTGAAACATCAGTTTCACTTCAATAGTTTGGAATTGGGATGACCTTATTTTTAGATAAAACAGATATATTAAGAAATTGAATGTTCATACACATCATCATGGTTAAGATAAAATGGTAGACTTCACAGGTAATTCTTATCTGCAAGTGGGGTACGTGTTCCCTCTCCTCTGCCCTTAGTGGTATTTTGGTGTTCATTTCTGAGAAGTACAATCAGAGCTTTATCCAAACGTCCTTGGGTTGCTGCTGACTCAAGGCCTAGACTTCTAGTGCCTTTGAGGCAGAGCCAAGGGAGCCTGCCCTGGGGAAAATCCCTCCCTTCCCCCCTGCCTGCCTGCCCGTGACCCCGCACCTATCACAGAGCTTCAGGGCCAGCTGACTTTTGTGTGTGCAGTATGGTTTTGAGGCAGAAACAATACTTAGTGTAGGAATCCTATTTATATCATTGCTCAGTTCTGTGCATGCTAGTAAATGAGCATTCCTTTGATGCCAGGAAGCCACCAGGCATATATGCTTCTGGGTTAGGGTTATCCCAGCTCACTAAATATGGCAGGGCTTACTTATAAATTTGAGAGGAATTGGGGCTGTTAAGGAAAAAAAGGTATTTTTCTCTCAAACTAGTAGCCAACAAGTGGCCAAGACGGTTTTGGTGCTTTAACCTGTCTGCCCACAAAGTCCAGAGATCCAACATACCACTGATTACAGCCCCAACCCCAACCAACAAAATGCCCCTCAAAGAAGAGCCAGTGGTCTCTCCCCAAATAAGAGTTTAAAACAAGAAGATTAAGGAAATTAGGATTTAGAAGCTTGTGTTGTCTTTTCCAAATAATTATTTTTTAATCTCTAAATAGTAGCCTTACTGTAGCAATGGCCAGATCATTGGTCTCTCCATACCTGGTCATGTTACTTTAAATCAGTATTTGGGAAACCCAAGCATTTATGCAGTGGATATGAACAGAAATATTAAAATGCATGCCAACCTGTCTGGATAAATTACCATATCCCTGTAGACCTCAAGGAAAGCACTTTTGCTTTTACTTAGAAAGGACTTCAGACTTGCTTTATGGGTTCCTGCTGTCTTCAGCACCTGATAAAACTTTAAGCAGGGAAGCATTAAACTCAGTGCAGCAGCTTTTGCCAGGCTCCTGAGTTCCTGCCGGCAGCATTTGTCAGTGTAAGAGCTAGGATGCTTCCTGCAGTGGCACCAGCTTCTCCCGAGAGCTGCAGCTGCTGCTCAGTCCAGCATGATGAAGCTTCCCTCCCACCAGGTCAGTACAAGTTGTGCTCAAAGTCATGTTCTGACTGGTGGTAGGCTTTGCAGAAATCCACTCCTAGGGAGAAGTCATCAAGGGAGGCAGCTAATGAGTGTCTTTTGAATGAACTGGGTCCTAACACCAATCCCTGGCTGTCTTCCAAATACTAGGTGTCTGGAGGTCGAGAGGGGGTTTGTGTTTTTATTTGATGTCATTAAATTCAGGGCAATTCCAAGAAATGCTTGGTGCCATGCAGGGAAATGAGCTATACTGGGAATTAAGAACCAGGCCCTGTACTAGGCCCCCATTCTCAGGTGTTGAAACTGAGTGGGAGTGCAAGAGTCACTTGCCTTGACTTACACAGCTAGTAAACGTTGCATCCAGCTTTTGAACCCAGCTCTCTGTAACTCTGGCCCATGGTACATCTAAATACAGAGGGAGAAAAAGGCGGCACATACCCTCCCTGCAGTCCCACCATCCCACCTCATGAATTCTTTTTCAAAATTACATTTCGTGTCTGTGGTTTGGACTCAGAAATGGCATCAAAGTAGCCTTATTCCATTTAGCAGCTGCGTTAAGTCCACGTTGCTAATTGAAGCCTGCCCCAGGAGTCTAGGGGAGCCTTTCCTTTCCTGTGCCATCCTCCATGAATAAAGTGTTTCGGGGCCTTCATAAGTGTAGAACTTCTCAGAAGTAGTAAAGGTGGAGGATGTCTGCTTTCAAACTTTATTTGAAAATGTCTGCTATTGCAGTGCTGCAGAAAAGGAAATTTTCATATTTTAGTCAACTTAGCCAGTTCTGTGCTTTGCGAAGATATGGTCTTTAGAGTCCAGTGAACCTAGACTTTCTTGCTGATACCTGCTATGTGTGTGTGCATAAATGATATGTGTATATGTATGTATATACAGGTGCACACACATACATGCACACACAGAATTTAAGAACTAAGGGTAGTTTAAAGCATCCCCTCATTTTGCATACCACTGCAAAGGTGTCTGCCAGCCCTGATTACAAGTGTCACCAGATAATTGGAGCTTAGGGGCTTACCGGATGCTAACAAGAAGAGCAACTCCTTGGCAGAGGTGGTCAGGTCCTAAAGCGCTGAGCCAAGGTGAGAGCCCTGAAGGAGATTGCGCTCTAGCCCTACTCCAGGTCATCTAGTAATATGGGAAGTTTGCATACCCAGTCATTTGGTGACATGAGAGCCTGACCACTGTCAGCCTGAGGGCACAGCTGCAGAATTCACAGCTGATAGTAGTCGCAGGGCCTAGGACTACTATCCCTACCCAGAAAATCCTCTCCCGCCAGCACCTGAAATTCCACACTCACTTAATGGCTGTTCAGTACATACTTTTTGATAAGAAAATCAGTTGCAGTGTTTCCTGTGTGCCTAGCACATCTGGGATTTTCTGTTTAAAAAACAAATCTCATTATGGATGGACTCAGGCCAGCCCTCAGAGAAAAAGGTCCATAGGAGAAACGTCTCATCTCATTGCCTTTACCCAGCAGTGTTTCTGAGGCCTCCCACCCCAGCCTATTCCAAGTGCCATAAGGTCCAGGCAGTACCTGCCCTCCTGGGCCTGCCAGGTAAAACAGTGTCATTCAGAACTGAGAACACACCAGAAACAGCAAAACAAACATCAGAGCAAGAAAATAGAAATAAAGAAATAATGTAAGTACACTGGTGTAAAAAATGCCACCGAGCCCATGCTGGGCTTGATATGACCTTGAGGGGACAATAGATTTATACTTAACAGGAGTTAAACCTGACCAGTCTTTCTGCAGTGACAGGCACACTGCATGGATGGGGAGAAACGATGATCCCATTGTCCTCTGCCTGTTTTCCTGTGCACAGTCACATTCCCTCCTCAATCATCTTCCCCTTTTACCCTTTACATTAAACAGGGGAACACTCAATCTTTCAAGGGAACTACGCATTTGAGTTAATGTTTCAGTATATCATCTTCATGCTGTAAATTATTTTGTAAGAGAGATTTACCGCTATCCCATGATGTTTGGACTCAGCGCCCCTGTGCATTTGGAAATCAATAAACTATTACTGGAAATACCATTTGTCTCTCAGAGTTGGGCACAAAGGACCCTACTAGGTGTAATATTCATGATAGTTGCATTCTTAGCTGTGGTCATGCTGGAGATGGTGGTGTTTTGGTCATTAATGTGGGAGTCTCATTTACTCCTGATTTTCTGGAGTCGCTTAGGAGAGCTCTGTGAAGTGGCAGAAGGACAGACTAAAAGTCATTATTTATCAATATGTTGATATGTCTTCTCAAAGTAAAACGATCCATGCCTAGGTTAAATTTTCTGTGCAAAACAGATTATAATCTAAAGAATACTTGGTCCTGAATGATGTTTTCAAATAATAAAGCTTTATAATTTGGATTAACCAGGGGTAGGTCAAACTTTAATTTTTATCATATTTTCTAGCAAAAAATCTTCATACAGGAAATGACAGGCCAGCAACGTCATTTTTGTGCAACCTTAGAAATACACGTTTGATGTAATTGCTGAAAAGATAGGATTAAGTTGTAAATGAAGCAATTCCAGTCTAAGTTGTAATATTAGGACCAGAGGTTGCATTGAAACCAAGTCATATACTCAGAGGCAAGCTGTGAAACCTAAGATAGTGGATACTGTGTCAATCAGAAATTGTAAGTCCTGCCTAAAGTCATTAAAATTCGATTTTTAAAAATTCAACCTGAAATCCATCAGCAGGTGTGTCTGGAGGAGCTGCAGTTTATGAACCCAGCTCTAAATTTCCTTTTAACAAATCTGTGTCTATCAGACCTCTTTAGTCAGTTGGGGACTGTGTGAACTTTAGAGGAATTGTCCAACATAGGGAGATAGGTCTGTCACTCAAGGTCACCCATGAGCCACGCTTATAAAACCAGGACAGCAGACTCTCTGTCTCCTACAGTAATTACTGGGCCCTTCTTCCTCTCTCCCCAGCCGCTGAGGACACTTCTGCCTGGCAGGATGGGATTGCCAAGCCCCACAGCACTTGGGATTCTCAGGGTTTTAATCAACCACAATGCGTCTGGTGGTTTTCCTCCTTGCTTCCGGGTGCCAGGATCTCACCACCACATCCCATTGCCCCAGCCCTTTCTCATTTTATTGTCTTTCCCTCTGAAAGCTACAACTCTTTGTTTCATTGATCTTTGCTTGGTCCCTCGTACAGGTGGCCCCATCTCATTTACACTCATAAAAGGGCAAAATAGCTTGTCTGGAATATCTCCTGGCCTTAACAAGGCACCAGAAATACCCAGCAGGAAGTCAGGCTGTCCATCTTAATAAGAGAAGATGTCACAGAAAAGAAAAGAAAAAAAAGATTGCTTGAAGTTAATAACTGGCTCGTTGAGTGTCTGTACTTGATAAATATTAAAGTCTCCAGGTTAAAATCATTTATTTTTGTTGATAATAGCTACCATTTAGTGAGCTCTTTCTCTGGGCCAGGCACTATTCTAGTCACTTTTCACATTTTACTTAATTCTCACAGCACTAATATTATCACCCCCTATTTTATTGCTCAGGAATCAGATTTAGAAAATTAACTACTGTGCACAAGGTCACATCCTAATAAATGGGAAGCCGGGATTTAAAGCAAGGTCTAGCAGATTCCACAACCCCTGCTGTAATCCCTCCTAGCTGCACCTTGCAGTGGTAAATAACATCCCT